TAAAACTTAGTTCTTGGGGCTGGCGCTGTGGTGTAGTGGGTAAAGCTGCTGCCTGAAGCGCCAGCACCAGCATCCCATGTGAGCACCGGTTCTAGTCCCGGCTGCTCTACTTCCGATCCAGCTCACTGCTGTGGCCTGGGAAAGCAGTAGAAGATGGCCCAAGTGCTTGGGCCCCTGCACCTGTGTGGGAGACCCGGAAGAAGCTCCTGGCTCCTGGCTTCGGATCGGCGCAGCTCTGGCCATTGTGGCCAATTGGGGAGTGAACCAGTGGATGGAAAATCTCCCCCCGCCACCTCTCCTTCTCTCTGTGTAGCTCTTTCAAATAAATATTTAAAAAAATTAGTTCTTATATGCATATTTATTATTACATGTATTCATAAATATTTTCCAAATGGGGCTTTAAAAAAAATAGCTACTTATTTGAAAGGCAGAATTACAGAGAGAGAGAGGCAGAGAAAGAGGTCTTTCATCCCCTGGTTCACTCCCCAAATGGCCGCAATAGCTGGCCAGGGCTGGGCCAGGCTGAAAAGAGGATCCAGAAGCTAGGAGCTTCTTCCAGATCTCCCACGTGGCAAGGACTTGGGCCATCTTCCCCTGCTTTCCCAGGCACATTAGCAGGGAGCTGGATCGGAAGTGGAGCAGCTGGGACTCTAACTGGGGCCCTTATGGGATGCCAGCACTGCAGGCAGCAGCTTTACCGGCTACTCCACAGCACCGGCCCTGTGGGGTTCCTGTTGTGAACGGGCCCTCTCCCATTCTTCCAATGTAAATACGTTCACAAATACACAGGAACCTGGGACTGCTAGATGTTGATAACTTAGGACTAGTAACATGGGATATGTGATTTTTACTATGCTCCAGACTTGAGATGTCACCAGTTTTGCCATTCATGTCCCCGCCACCCAGGACACACCAATTCCACGTCCTCTTCTGTCCCCTACGTCTGTGACACGTTGTCAGGGCTTGCTTTACCCGCATCTGGCCGTCTCCAGACGTCCTGGTCAGGTGAGGTGCTCGGTCTGGGTTTGTCTGGTGCTTCCCTCACGGCTGGGGGTCTGGGATTTTCAGAAGGTAACACAGCACTGCCCTTGCGGTCTCCTCACATCGCGGTCACGTGCTGTCCGCTCCACTGCTCGCTCCACTGCCCGGCCAAGGTCGCGTCTGCAGGTTTCTCGCCTGTGGAGTGACTTTCGCCCCTCTCTGCACGCTCTCTCCTCTGGAAGCAAATTGCTGAGCGCAGCCCTCGCGGGGAGGGCCACGGGGGAGTGAGGCGCTGCAGAGGGCGTCTGGAATTCTGCCGTGGGAGAGATCTGCTTCTCCCGTGGTTGTTATTCAACCGCCGACAGCAGGTGCGCTCGTGGGCATTTATTTCAGGACTTGGGTTTAATCCAGCACAACATTATTCCATTTGTTGCTTCCACTGTTCCAGCTCTGGCTGTTGGGAGCGCTGTCCGGCAGGCTCCGCGGTCCCTGTGACGTGTCACCGTCCTTGGATTTTTGGAGCACCTTTTGGGGGCACCTCTGTGGTGTGTCCTGGCGCCGCCAGATGCTCCAGGCTCATCTTTGTTCTCCCCAAACCCTAGAAGCAGTCATTTCTCTGAGGACGGCTCTGGTTCCTTGTGCTGGAGAGCGCTATTAGAAATGAGGGTTCAAGGGCTGGCACTGCGGCGTCGTGAGTAAAAGCTGCCGCCTGAGTTGCCAGCAACCTGTATAGGCACCGGTTCTGGTCCTGGCTGCTCCATTTCCGATCCAGCTCTCTACCATGGCCTGGGATAGCAGGGGAAGATGACCCAAGTCCTTGGGCCCCTGCACCCACGTGGGAGACCCGGAAGAAGCTCCTGCTCCTGGATCCTCTTTTCAGCCTGGCCCAGCCCTGGCTGTTGGGGCATTTGGGGAGTGAACCAGCAGATGGAAGACTCACTCTCTCTCCTGCTCTCTCTCCTGCTCTCTCTCTCTCTGCCTCTCCCTCCTTGTAACTTTGCCTTTCAAAAATAAATCTTTTTTTTTTTTTTTTTTTTTTTTTGTGTTCTGACAGGCAGAGTGGACAGTGAGAGAGAGAGACAGAGAGAAAGGTCTTCCTTTTGCCGTTGGTTCACCCTCCAATGGCCGCCGCGGCCGGCGCGCTGCGGCCGGCGCACCGCGCTGATCCGATGGCAGGAGCCAGGAGCCAGGTGCTTTTCCTGGTCTCCCATGGGGTGCAGGGCCCAAGCACCTGGGCCATCCTCCACTGCACTCCCTGGCCACAGCAGAGGGCTGGCCTGGAAGAGGGGCAACCGGGACAGAATCCGGCGCCCCGACCGGGACTAGAACCCGGTGTGCCGGCGCCGCTAGGCGGAGGATTAGCCTAGTGAGCCGCGGCGCCGGCTCAAAAATAAATCTTAAAAAATAAAAAATCTGACTCGGGACACCTGCATCTCAAGAATGCCTGGGTTTCAGTCCCAGCTCTACTTCCAATACCAGCTTCCTGCCAGTGCACACCCTGGGAGGCAGCAGGTGGGAGACCCAGAGGGAGTTCTTGGCTCCTAACCTCCTAACCTTTTTTTTTTTTTTTTTTTTAAATTTGAAAGGCAGAGTTGCAGAGAGGGAGAGAGAGAAAAAGTCTTCCATCTGCTGGTTCACTCCCCAAATAGCCGCAATGGCCAGGAGCCAGGAGCTTCACCTGGGTCTTCCACGTGGGTGCAGGGGCCCAAGCACTTGAGCCATCCTCCAGCGCTTTCCCAGGTGCATTAGCAAGGAGCTGGATCAGAAGTGGAGCAGCCAGGACTCGAACCGGCACCCATAGGGGATGCCAGCACTGCAGGTGGAGCCTTAACCTACTGCGCCACTGGGCTGGCCCTCACTCCTAGCTTTGATCCTGCCTTGACAGTTGCAGGCATTTGGGGAACAAACCAGCAGGCAGGAGGTCTCCCTCTGCCTGTCTCTGTCTGCCTTTCAAATAATAAACAACATTTTCGGTGGAATTGTTTTGTATGTACAAACTGTCCCCTCGCCAGTCTCACTCATCGCGACTGGACCAGATGGTCAGGAACATGATTTCCCCCTGGACAGAGAGGGAAACTGAGGCTCAGCTCCCAGCCTGCACAGATGACATGGTGCTGGGAGGGGCTTCCAACCCACGAGGACCCCCTGCAGGGAGCTGCAAGCCCAGTCTGTGCTGCTTCCCACGTCCCAGTGGCTGCAAGAGCCAGCCGGCCTTTAGGGGCTCAGGGGCCACCGTGGACACCACTGAGTGGGAGCAGTGACCCCCACCCAGGGCGCAAGGAGGTGACTCACGGCTGGGACAAGAAGTTGTGGAGCCGTGGTGTGGCAGGGACCGACCGCGACTCGTGGGTGGCGTGGCCCGGACAGCTTGGCCAAGGGAGCCCAGAGCAAATGGCCTTTGGAGCTGGATGCAGCCTGGGGTGCTTGACCTCAGGGGAGGTAGGGAAGCCTGGGTGGAAGCCGGGAGGGTGGAGGCCGGGAGGGTGGAGGCCGGGAGGGATCTGTGCAGCTGGCAGTGTTGTGAGGCTGTGGCAGTGAGCAGGTGGAAGCAGAGCCCCGTGCCAGGCCCCTGCCCTTGCCCAGCCCCCTCCGCCACCTCGAGTCTGGCCCACATCCGTGGTTTGGTCCCTCAGGGCTTGGCTGGGAGTGTCATTGGGCCCTTCCAGGCCCCCTTACCTCTCCAGGCCCACATGGGCCCAGGGTTCCTGTCTCCCTCTGTCCGTAGCCGGCTGCATGGCTGCCTCCCCTATGAACCACAGAGGACTGGCAGTAACTGGCTTGGCCACTGTGCCCAGAGCCAGGTCCTGGCTCTTGTGTGTTGGTCTGGTGAGCAGTCCCCACAGCACTGGGTGGGGCATGCGAGAGGGCTGGGGGGCCCCCTGGGAAGAGGTATGGGGTGGGCCAGCACATAGCAACCCCACAGCTTCTCCGTGGAAAAGAAACATTCGGAGAAAAGCCGAAATCCCCGCACCAGGCTGCTAGGGACCCCATGTTGTCCGGCTTACTGGTCTCTGGGAAGCCTGGCTCAGCCCAGCTCCTACAGTGACTCCCCAAAGCCACCCATCTGCTGCAGGGCCACAGGCCCTCGGGCCCCTGGGGGCTTCTGAAGCCGTCAGGCTCAGAGCCAGGGTCCTGGGTGCCGGTCCCCATGCTGACATACGACTATGGCCAAACAGCCGCCTGCCTCAGCCTTCGGAGCAGGCGGCTAGGAGCCAGGGCTCCGTGCAGCGCAGGTCTCGCCAAGTGGGGGGCTGCTCTGGGGGCGCTGGTGCAGTCTCCTGGGGAAGGGGTCAGCCAGTGCAGTGAGCGGGACGCTGGGCAGCCATGGGACACTCCCGGTCCACAGTCCTCCTTCCTCCCCCAGACAAGTCGCGCTGAGAAGCCCCGCGGGGCCCAGGGACGTCCTGTAGGGACTACTCGGGACACCCTATCCCATGCTGGGTGCCTGGGTTCAAGCCCCCGCTCCACTTCCTGCTATCTCACACCCGGGAGGCAGCAGGGGATGGCTCAAGTACTTGGGGCCCTGCCTCCTACGTGGGAGACTGGGTGGAGTTCCCCGCTCCTGGCTTCACCTGGCTGTTGTGGGCATTCGGGGAGTGAGCCGGCAGATGGGAGCTACCTCTGTCTGCCTCTCTGCCTTTCAAGTAAATAAAAATGAGTTTAAATAAATGCTGTAAAAAAAGAACGTGGAGCTGGGTCCATGATGGAGGGTGGGAATCCACTGTTCTGAGACACCTGCCAGCGGCCATCCACCGGCCTCCCTGGCTCCACTTCCGGTAGGCTGGGGTGGGTTGTTGTCCAAGACCCCCTATGTCCTAGAACCTTCCCTCTTAAGCCAGGACATTTTACCTTTTAAAAAAAGTTCCTCTCACGCCCTGGCAAGCCGTAAGATGGGGAATATTGGTTGAAGAGATGAGCAAATAAAGCCAAAGATAAGCCGGCAATTGGAGACGGGGAAGCCCCCACTGGGAATTCCTCACGCAGCTCTGGGAGTGCGGGTTTGGGCTCTGGGGCTCTGGGGTTCTGGTTCGCACCCCTTTGAGGGAAGCCACAGGTGCAGGCTCCCGCAGGAACAAAGCCGATTTCTGGAACATTCTGTGCTTATTCACCTTCCAGGGACGGACTGGGGGCCAAGGCGCTGGCCCCTCCGGCCCTGCCTCCCCGCACCACGGCGGCTTGAAACCTTGTCCAGTGCGGGGCAACGGGGAGAGCGGGGGCGGCCAGGGGACCCTGCTGCCCTGCCCACGGTGGAGAGTCGCCTCCCCGGCCTCAGTTTCCTTCGGTCTCGAACTACCCGGCACGTAGTGGGCCTCGGCCATCCCGGGCAGGGGCCCGGCGCAGTGCGGCGGGCCACCCAAGGTCACGCGCCTGGGCCCGACGCGACCCCGGGCGGCTGGACTCCGGGAGCCCCGGGGCGGCGCGGGACGAGCGCGGGGCGGCGAGCGCGCGGGCAGGGAACCTGCATTCCGGCCCTGGCCGAGGGGTCCCGCCCCTGCCCCGGGTCCCCCGCCGGCCCCCCGCCCCACCCCGTCACCTCCCCGGGACCCGGGAGGGGCGGCGGGGGGAAGGGCGGCGGCGGTTACCTCATCGCCGCCTGCGGGAGGCCCCGCGCGCTCGCTCGCTCGCTCGCGCCGCGGCTGAGGCGGCGACTCCCGGCGCCGGAGCGGGAGGAGGACTTAGGGGGCGGGAGGACCGCGGCGCCGCGAGGAGGTCGCACCTCGATCGCGCCGCGGGGCGGATTGGAGGCGGTGTCTGCGCGCGGCGCGCCGGGTGCGTTCGCTCCCGGTCCTCGGCGCCCGCCGGAGCCGCTCGTGCGTCCGCCGCCGGCTCGGTCCTCGGGGGGACGCCGGGGCGCGCCAGGGCGGGCGTCGGCCCATGAGGCTTCCCGGCGCGGGCCGGCCATGGGGGGCAGCCTGCGGGTGGCCGTTCTGGGCGCCCCGGGCGTGGGCAAGACGGCCATCATCCGCCAGTTCCTGTTCGGGGACTACCCGGAGCGCCACCGGCCCACGGACGGGCCCCACCTCTACCGGCCCGCGGTGCTGCTCGACGGCGCGGTCTACGACCTGAGCATCCGCGACGGCGACGTCGCCGGCCCCGGCCCCAGCCCCGGGGGTCTCGAGGTAGCGGTCCGAGGGGCGGGCAGGGGCGTGGGGACCGGAGGAGGCGCTTGTGCTCGGTGCGCACGTGCGGGGCCGCGCGGGGATCGAGGGAGGGGGTGGGGGTTCCGGTGTCCGTGCGCCCCAGGACGAAGGCGCGGGTGCCTGCCGCTACCCTCGCCGCCTGGGGCCTTGCGCACAGCCGTAGTGGGAGAGAGGTGGGGTCAGGCCCAGGGGCGTACCCTCGCGGGGTGTGCGGGGTGTGTGTGGGGAGGGAAGCGGTCCTTCTCTGCACCCTCACCCCCGTGGCCCGGAGCAGAGACTTCTTTAGTAATCTGTGCAAAGTCCAGGACGGACCCCCCACCCCCACCCCAGTCCTTGGAGCTGGATGCTGCTGAGAGGTGAAGAGGAAGGCAGCAGGTAGGATTGAGCAGGGCTTCCCTGAGGGGGTGGCGTTTGAGCTGAGCCTGGAGGGCCGAGTGAAGTTTTGTGCGAAAGAAGGGGCCAGAGCCTGGCAGGTGGACAAGCGCCGCAGGTGCACAAGCCGGAACTGGAGCGCGCACAGCTGCCCGCGCTCCGTGGTCTCGGGGGCGTGGCGCAGCCCGGGCGTTATAGGGAGGAGAGAGAGGCCCCACCCGGGTTGAGCTTGGGGAAAGCTGGGGGGAGGAAGGGGAAGATGGGAGTGCGGAGCAGAGAGGAGAGCCCCTCCCAAGGGGGCGGAGGCGAAGTCTGGGGGCCTCCAGGCTCCAGGCGACCGCAGGTAGGGCTCGAGTGGGGGGCGCAGATAGGGGACGAGCCCTTGGCGGAGCCGCGTGTGGCTGTAACGGGCAGCCCGGGCCGGGG